AAGACATTCAAATGCCAGCAAATACATGAAGATATGTTCAAAGTCCCTAGCTTTAAGAGAGATGTAAATCAAAACAACTATGAGATATCATCTAAGCCCAGTCAGAATAGGAAAATTTAACAGAGCAGCAAACAACAAATGCTGGCGAGGTTGCAGAGAAACTGGAACCCTTATTCACTGTTGGTGGGAGTGTCAAATGGAGCAACCATTGTGGAAAGTGGTGTGGAGCTTTGTCAAAAAGTTGCAAATAGAGATACCGTTTGACCCAGTAATTCCACTGCTGGGGAAAAAGCCCCAAAGATACCTTAACTGACATGCAAGCATATATATGCACACCCATGTTTATTGCAGCTTTGTTCACAATAGCAAGGAGTTGGAAACAACCCAGGTGCCCATCAACAAAAGAATAGATAGAGAAGCTGTGCATTGAAAGACAAGGAAAGTAACTCATGCAATATTATTCAAAATGGGTGAGCATGGAGGACATTATGCTGAGTGAAATATCTCAGTCACAAAAGGACAAATATTGCACAGTTCCGCTGTTGTAGAATGAGACGGATGTCAGGGCTGGGGTTAAGACTGAGAAAAACTGGATAAATTATGTATACTGCACTGAAACCTATGTGTGTTCTTTCTTGTTGTGTGCCCTCCACTTGAGATCAACTCATAGCTGATCTTCCAGTGGATTTTCAGAGTCAATGAATCTCATGCAAGAGATTACCCATTCTTCTCTTGCAGAGCAGCTGGTGGGTTTGAACTGTGTGCCTTTGAGTTTGCAATACAAAGAGTTCTTATGTGTGTTTGCTAGTAAATAAAAATTTTCATGCAAACAATTCTCAAAATTAGAAGATTATTCTTATCACAGCTTTCTCACTTTTCTAGTGTCTGATACAAGCCATTCACATAGAACTTTCTTTTTTAGACTCTAACCATACAGAGTTATGACAGACCATTCAAATTAAAAGGGCTCTGTCCTTCAGATCTATTGCCTACCCAGCCCTGCTCTATCTTCCGGCCATCCAAAGCTGGGTCTATACAAGTTAAAGAATTTCACTAGAATTACTCAGAAAACTAGCATAATGGACTATATATGCCATAATAGCTTTAATACAATAAAAATTATGGAAACAAAGAGACAAACAATCTTAGAGAGTTCCAAGCACTGGCCTTCCACGTCCTAATGGATGTATCATCTTCCAACATGCATTGAGAGCTTTCATGAACCAAGAAGCCTAAGGAATTTCCATGCTTATTATTTTTTTTTAAGTTGACTTCATTGTATTCTCACGAATGGAGTTTTCTTGTGTGGTCTTGATCTCATTAATCATGAAATACTATACATCTACCCCCCCCATCCCCTTTTGAGTGTTTCCTGGTTGTTGTCAATAACAAAGACACCTCAATTACTGGGGAATTCCAATGGATATTTTTCAGGAAACAAAGGAAAATACAGAATTTGAACCCTTTGTTTCATAGTTCTGTGGAATATTAGCCTATTGAATGTTAATAAGTTTTCCACAGAAAGAGAATTCTGATATCAAACAGTTGGGGAAATTCTAGGTTAAGTAACTTAAATGTTTTGCTTTTTAACTACAGGACTTATCTACAGGAACTTTATTATACTTTTATTTACATATTACATGTTGTGACTTTCAGATTATAGCAGCTCAGAGACAAAACAATTTGAGTAATATTAATAGCTCCCAGGCAAAGATTAACAGGAGACAATGCAAAATCTGAGAATTTCATGTTCGTAGAAGGAAAAACCATTAGGGATGAGTGCTTACATAACCTGGACACAATGGCTTACCTTTGTTTTTAAAAGCAAAACCAAAGGGGAGCTCTGGTGGCCTAGTGGCAAGAAGCTGCACTGCAATCCCAGAGGCACACGGTTCAAATCCACCAGATGCTCTGCCGGGGAAGGAGGGACAGTCTTCTCCTGTACCAGTTAGATCTGATTTGACGGTACACGCACACAAAAATAATAAATTTTAAAAAGAATAAAAAAAAGCAAAACCAAGGAACAGTTGCTGTTTATTCTGACTTACAGTAACCCTAAGTTTTAAAGAGTAGAACTGCTGCTACACAGGTTTTCTTTGATATAATCTTTACAGAATCAGATGACCAGGCATAAGTTCATACTGTCAACAACCTTTATTGTAGTAGTCATATGTAAACTGTTTGCATAGGTCAGGGTGACCCCATTAGTGCTGACTTAAAAAAATTTTGTGAGTTAATCTGATGATGAATGGGAAGTAAGGTGACTTTCAGAATCTTCAAATATGGGGAGGGAGAGTGTGTATAGAAGTGACATAACAACTACTATAAAAAATTGACTGCTAGTGGTTAAATTTATATTTTCACATCCTCAAACATGGTCTAGTTGATGGAGCTGTAGGTAAAGCAAAACTAATTAATCTTTGTTCTCTTCTCATTTAGTAATTCTGCCTCCTTTAGGCCCTGAACTTGCCATGTAGCCAGACTCAAGAACTGCCTTGAATCCTAGTTCCTTCTCATCCTTTCTTTTCCTTTACTACTTCAAGTAATCTAATCCACTCCATTGAGCTCTTGGACTACATTCCTAATTTGTGCCTCCATCCCAGAGCTTTGACCTGAGTACTAGACCTGTATCTCTACACAGATATCCTTATCATGAGACATTATTTTGAGTGAAATATCTCAGTCACAAACTGACATGGGGTGTTGAGGAGAGAATAAGAAAAAAGTAGATAGATAATGAACACTGCAATGAAACAGATGAGGGGAAGAACTATAGGAAAGGAATATATGGTTAGGCATAATATGTATGAAAATAGTCCAGAATAAGAGATGTATTGCAGAGTGGACTGGGGGAAGAGGAAGGGAAAAGGAGGGAGGAAATTGTGCAACAATTAATGAATGAAAATATAATCTTTCTGTAAGCTTTTGTTAAAATAATAAATTTTTAAAAAAAAACAAACAAAGAGGTATCTTGTGGCTTATTGTTTATCCTTGAGTTGAAACAAGTAAATCGCACAGCAAGAGACTGTCCATCTTTCTCCTACTGAGTGGCCGGAGGATTTAGCCACATGCCTCTTGAGATGTCAGTATAATTCCATACCACTAGGCCATGACAGCTCCCTATTTTCTAGCTCTTGTGGCCTAATGGCAAGAAGCTGTGCTGCAATTCTGAAGGCATATGGTTCTAATCCACCAGTTGCTCCATGGAAGAAACATGGGCAATCACCTCCCACGCGATTAACTGCTTCTGAAAACCCACTGGAAGGTCAACTATGGGTTCGTTACCATCCAATGGTACACAACAACAACCATGTTTAGAGCACTATTTCACCTTAAAAGTCTATTTCACTTTGTTGTTTGGATTTCTAACTGCCTTCAGTGAACTTGAAATTTCAGGCTAAATGTCTTTGAAATTGCTCTAGTGATTGTTGAGTATAAGACACTAAAAAAGCATGTGGTTCAAATTCACCAGTTGCTGAACATAGAAATTCCATATGACCCAGCAATTCCACCGCATGTGGAAACAGCCCAAATGTCCAACCACAATCAAATGGATTGAGAAATTATGGAACATTGACATGATGGAATACTACGTAGCATGCAAGAGCAATGATTGTGTAAGTTTCTACCTAACTTGGGAAGGACTGGAGAGCGTTACACTGAGTGAACTAACTCAATTTCATAATGACAAATACTGTATAAGATCATTATTGTAGAATGAGTGTAAGGATCCAAGACAGGGGGAGCAGAGGAGTGAGGATGGGTGGGGCGCAGAGGGTTATTCATAGGCCCTCATGATTTGGTGGATGGTGGGAGGTGAAGAAAAAGGGAAAGATATGGTGTGAAAAACAATGTATACTAATTTTGTAAATAAACCAGTATAAAATGAAAGCTAATCATAATAATTTTTTTAAAAAAACAAATTCACCAGTGTCTCTGCTGGATAAAGATGAACATTCATTTCCTGTGCAATTTAATGCCTCTAAAAACTCACTGAAGTGTCTGCTATGGGCTGGTCCTGTCTCAATGGTACACAACAACAAAACAAACAAACAAATAAACAAACAAAACCCCAAACCTCACCCATTGCCATCAAGTAAATTCTAAATAACAGGGACTATTCCATGAGGTTTCTGAAGCTCTAAATATTTATAGTGGGAAACCGGCCATCTTTCCTTATGGGGCAGCTGGTGGATTGTGACCTTAGACCTTTCAGTTAGCAGCCTGACATGTTTATGCAAAGGTACCACTGCTCCTTGGTGTTGTTATATGCTGTCAGGTCAAAGGTCCTTCGATGTCCCATAAAATTGAACCCATAGCTGTCCAAGAGATTTTCATTCATGGTGACCTTCTATTGGGTTTCTGAGGTTGTAAATCTTTACAGAGAAGATTATCCATCCTTCTCCTGAAGAGCAACTCTCAATCATTTGTTTCACAGAGCTCCAAACTCACTTTGTCCAAAATCTAACTCTTCCCTTCCCCATCTTTTCCTTATGAGATGGCTGGTGGCTTTGAATCATCCTTTTTCGGTTCGCCCGATGTATAACCCTTAACTTACCAAAGCAGTATTAAAAAGAGGTATTAGGAGAGGAGGGTAAAGAAAGGGTAAAATATGAAATTTTCTTCGAAATTGACATTACTAGTGTTATTTTCTAAAACTGAAAAAATTCTACTTCCCTTTCTGCTTGGGGCTATGCACAAATCATTTCTTAAGAGTATTATTAGAAAACTGGTTTCTATGAGGCAGAAGTTAAAAATATCCCAAATGTCCAAATTTTCCAAACTATATATACACTGTTCATCATCTCTAACATCAGTTATTCCTCATCCCCTCAGTCCTCTCAGTCCCATCTATGTCCTTGGTGTCTGTAAAGTCATATTTTTTTCTTGCTGGAAAGTGCCAGAAATCTAAAAACTCTCAGGGAAACTGCTCATGTCGTTGTGGAGGATGCGAGTCTGAAGTCCATGGATTAGACTTATTTAAAAGGTGGCTGGCTTAAATGGGCGAGTACAGGCCCATGGACGTGGTTGCCAAAGCAATAAGCCAAACACCTACAGGCTATGACTCTTGGCTCTTGGAGGAGGTGAATCAGGTTAGAAACAGTGTCTAGAATGAAAAAGGCAGAATCTTCCAAGAGCATTCCTCTGTATAGGATCTCAGGGCTATAAAACACAATCCTGAGAGAACTAAGGATGGAGACTTGGACTACACTTTCTAGTAGGGTGAGGATTCAACACACATCTCATTCTCATTGACTTCATTAACACAATAAACAACTTGCTCCAGAACAAGATAGTAAGCACATATAGCAAAACTAAAAAAACTCAATGCCATCAAGTTGATTCTGACTCATAACAACCTTCTGTTGAATTTCTGAGGCTGTAAATCACAGTGGGAAGATTGCCTATCTTACTCCCTCAACAGTGCTGATAAATTTGAACCACTAGATGCACAAAGCCATTGGGATAGCAATCAATGCAACTTGCTATAGACAATTTCACCAGAGCTCCCGAAGCACAAAGAGGCTAGAATTCAAAATATATCTCAAAATGGAAGGCATTGCCACAAGGGCCATATTAATTCATTGCAGTATAGGCTATGGGAAAGGTTGGGATATAGTGGTGCTGAGGACTTGAACTGAATGGGAATGTGGAAGGAAACATCCTTAGGCCCTCTGAGAGATGCTAGTTCCAAAACAAAGTAGAGTCAGTAGTTTTGGACCAGAGGCAGCCTATGAGTGGATATCCTACGATTTTCTATCTTGTGAGGGGATTGAAGAGGAAAGGGATAAAGAAGAATAATCTAACTGAGGTACAGGCAATTTTGTTACTAGATAAGCAGTTCTGGAAAGAAAGCTCTCAGCTCCTTTTTTTTACCCTGAATGATAAAAACAACAAAAGAACCAGAGGAAGTAAAGAGAATAGAAAGGATGTTTTTTCATTTATGCTTGACAATCCAATAGTTGTGAATAAGTGTCTATGATAAAACAAAGCTATTGCCAAATGATAAAATTTCAAAGTGATTTGGAATACTTATTACATAGCTTCATAAATACTTCCTCCCCCTAATTCTTCTTTTTGCTCAAAATACTTGTTTTGAGTTAATAAGTTGGCGGCTGGTTTGAGTTGCTGGTGTTATGTTCAAGTCGAGGGATAAAGTAAAGATTAATTAACATACCTATGCTGAAGATGACAAATTGAAGAATAGCATCACACACTTCATAGAATATTTACCACCGCAACAAGGTTAATAAATTTTGTTTCACTTTACTTGTCTCAAAACTCTTATTTCAAATGATGTAATTTCTCTCTGGAACACAGGATATACATTTATATCTAAATTAATTTCCTGCCTGAGAGAATTTATCACTTATGAATATGCAGAAGAAAAAGAGAACTCAAATTCTTAGGCAAGGCGAACCTTTGGGTTTTTTTCTAATTTTTTAAAAAATTTCTATTCATTCATTGTTGCACACTTTCCTCCCTGCCCACCCTGCACCCCCAGTTTGTTTTTCTCTTTGAAAAGTAAAAAAAAAAAATTCTTTCATTGTTATACAATCCCCCCTCCCAGTCTACTCCACTATCAGCTTTCATTCTGGATTCTTGAAAGTGGACCTTTCTTAAAGAGACAAATCCTGATGTGTTGAGTTTGTATTTTTTTTAAACATTACAAGATGACTAAGATTATATATATCAACTCTGGTTTGCTATTTACGTAGTGATGTAATATGACAGTTATGTAATGATAGAGTTATCTTCATGATGTGATCTAATATGTTCATCTCTGTTCTACTCAAAGAGGATTAGGGTTGGATGCAATAAGCTTCATCTGATCATAACTCTGAATCCATGTAGTGGGATTGTCCCCACAAGTATGGCCCACTTAATTGCATCAATCATTGAAAGTCTTTCTATTTCTCACTGACCTTCCCCAGCATGATGTCTCTAAGGACTTGTCCCTAAAAACATGTCCAAAGTATGTGAGAGGACATTTCACCATCCTTGCCTCTAAGGAACACTCTGGTGACACTTCCTTCAAGACAGATTTGTTTGTTCTTTTAGCACCCAATGGGATATTCAATAGTCTTTACAACACCACAATTCAAAAGCATCCATTTTTCTCCAGTCATCTTTATTCATTCTCCAACTTTCAGATGCATAGGAAGCAATTGAAAAGACCAAAATTTTTATTAGTCTTTAAACTGACAATCTTGTTCTTTAGAACTTTGGAGAAGTTCTTGACAGCAGACCCACCCAACGGAATATGTATTTGTTTTCTTGATCCTGGAACCAGACAAGCAAGAAGCTCTGATTGAAAGCTTATGTGAAAAGCTAGTCAAATTTCGGGAAGGTGAACAACCATATCTGAGGCTGCAGTTGCTCAGCAACCTTTTTCACGGGATGGATAAGAACACTCCTGTAAGATACACCGTGTACTGTAGCCTCATTAAAGTGGCAGCATCTTGTGGAGCCATCCAGTACATCCCAACTGAGCTGGATAAGGTTAGAAAATGGATTTCTGACTGGAACCTCACCACCGAGAAAAAGCACACTCTTTTAAGGCTACTTTATGAGGCACTTGTGGATTCTAAGAAAAGTGATGCTGCTTCAAAGGTCATGGTAGAATTGCTGGGCAGTTACACGGAGGATAATGCTTCTCAGGCTAGAGTTGATGGCCACAGGTGTATTGTTCCAGCACTGAAAGATCCAAATGCATTCCTCTTTGACCACCTTCTAACTTTAAAACCAGTGAAGTTTTTGGAAGGCGAACTCATTCATGATCTTTTAACCATTTTTGTGAGTGCTAAATTGGCATCATATGTCAAGTTTTATCAGAATAATAAAGACTTCATTGATTCACTTGGCCTACTGCATGACCAAAATATGGCAAAAATGAGACTACTTACTTTTATGGGAATGGCAGTGGGAAACAAAGAACTTTCTTTTGACACAATGCAGCAAGAACTTCAGATTGGAGC